CCCCAAAACCCCAAAACCCCATGTAAACGAATAATAAATAATTTTATGTTTTTAAGAGTTGTATTTATTATACACATTGATCATATTTGAAAAATTATTTAATTGGTATTTGATTAATGGGAGAACCGAGTCTGCGAATCACTCTTACATACAATGAAGATTTTAAGAAAAACGTGTGTATACCATATTTCAAGGATATCTATAAGGTAAAAATTGATTTATTTAATATACTTAGGATTTAAGCTGCAGGTCTGACGATAAGTTGAAGGGGATCAACAAGATTTCATTATTAGAGGTAAGATTTCACAAGTTGCTTTTTGATGAACATAAAATATATGATAGTATGCATAATTACCAGGAATTTTGGGGGAGAGATTTTTTTAAGTGATGGATCTAAACTCAGATGGATACATAGATTACAAAGAGTTCTTAACGGGATTCCTTAGGATTTACTGCGCTACTTTCGATTAGAAAACAAAGTTTGTGTTTGAGATTTATGATTTCGACTCTGACGGCTATATCTCAAAGTCGGATATCTTAACAATATTAAAGTATGTTCCAGTTGCAAATGATACACCAGTACTCGGTGAGGGCAAGTTTACATAAGAAGGTGGAGGTGCTTCTGATTATCTTGAGAGAGTTGAGACTCTTCAGCAAATGTATAATAGTTTGGATTTATGTTTTGGCACTAAAGAGAGGATAAATTTTTAGGAATTTTCCAAGATAAATGAAGAAGTTGCCTCTGACATGCTTCTTTCAGTGTTGAATCTGTTTAGAGAGCGTTTACCTTGCTCAGAAAACTACTGGAAGTATAAGAGAAGTTATGAGCTGCAATAATTCAATATTAAAAATCAATAAGAGGAAGAAGAAAAACAAACAGATCCATCAACTAGATCATAAAGTCCAGGTGTATAACAACCAGGAGATGGAATTGAAGTTTAGAATAAAATGCTAGCATCCCCTCAAATGACTAGACTAAAACCTTTATCACCGTATTTAGCTGGTGCAAATAGACTAAGATAACAAAAGGATGCAAACAATCCATTGCTTAAATACGTTTAAACAAAAAAGGATCCGAATGAAATGAATGGTTAAGGAACTATTGATTAACAACATTCTCCAAGAATTGAGAACATGGATGAGTAGTCTGTCTGTAACTCAATTCCTATAAGTAAATTCTAGTCAAATCATCTATCAAAGAAAAAGAATCAGGAGACCAGCCATAAACTGGATGAAGATGGATAATTATCACCAACGGCCACATAAGCTTAGAGATTGACTGGCTTTAAAAATATAGATTCCCCTTCCTTATTGATAGCAGCAGGAGTGTAAAAAATGAACTTGGACAATGAAATTGACCATAAGATTACTCAGAGATTTTGCATATGTGGCCTACCATGCTTACCAGATTAAGAGATGTGTGATAGCTGTCTTGGTAAGAACTCTGTCAACTTTGAAGGCTAAATTATCAAAAAATAAAAGAAGGGAGGAGTACTAAAAAAATATTGGTTTAGATTATATGGGAAAGAACTTTATTGTAAGTACCAAATAGAAATTCCTAATCTCTTCTATTATAGCTTATAAGGGCTAGACTGAATCCAAACACAAAGATATGCAGAATCTAGTTGGTGTGCATCTTAAGAATGAGTAAGAGGAGATCATTGATGCAAATACTATTCTCTATCCATTCATGTTGATATTCCCAAACAAAAGAAGAATATACTATTTACAATATAAAGTAAAAAATATAGCTAAACATATTATAGGAGGATAAAGACAAATGGATGGATGCTATTAAAAAAGCAATAGGTTACGCAAACCTTTATGACTTCTATGATATCAAGGAGAATTTAGGTTAGGGAAAATACGGCGTAGTGAAAAGAGCAGTGCATAAAAAGACTCAAAAAGAGGTTGCTGTAAAGGTTGTAAAGAAAAAAGAATTAGGACTTAAAGATCTAGAACTTCTAAAGAGAGAAATAGAAGTTCTGAAAATTTGTCAGCATCCCTATATCATCACTCTCTATGATATATTCGAAAATCAAGACTATCTATATATCGTAATGGAATATCTCTCTGGTGGGGACCTATTCAGTTTCTTAGAAAAAAGAGCTTTTAAGGTGACTGAGGAAAGAGCTCGTTAAATAGCTCACTAATTGGCCACTGCTATTTATTATCTACACAGCTTTGGCATAGCTCACAGAGATCTTAAGCCAGAAAATATCTTAATGATAAATACTGATGAGAAGGCTCATGTAAAAATCGTAGATTTCGGTCTTTCTAAAAGCTTTGGTCCCAACGAAACTTGTAAAGAACCTTTTGGTACTCTTTGCTATGTAGCTCCCGAGATCTTATTGTAAAGATCATACGATAAGTCTGTCGATTTGTGGAGTCTTGGAGTGATTGTCCATCTCATGCTGAGTGGTTCTCTTCCATTTGATGACTAAGATGACAGAGAAATAGCTAAGAAAACTATTTATTAGGAGGTTACTCTAAGTCATCCAAACTGGAACGTAGTAACTGATGATGCTAAAGACCTTGTTTTAAGTAAGTTATACCTTACATCCATATTACTTAATTTAAACATTGATAAATAGGGTTACTCACAAAAAATAGAAGAGACAGAATTTCATTAGAGCATGTGCTTGAGCATCCATGGATAGCTAACAAGAAAATCACTGACCTCAGAAGGAAGTCTAGCGACGAGGGAGACTAACTTCTACAATTCGTTGCTTATAGCAACACAGACATTAACATCATTAATAAAAGTAGTCCAAGAAAAGAGATTGCATGAATTAATCATTCATACTTTAAATGCATTTTATATTTATCATAGCTTTTGTCCCTCGTAACTAATAGATATTCTTATTAATGGGGTTTTGGGGTTTTGGGGTTTTGGGGAGA